GAGGCCCTCTAGGGAAGGCGCCTGGGGCTCTCTTGGGGGCGTCTCAGAGACTTCTTGGGCCGTCTTGGGGCCATCTTGGGCGTCTTGGACCGGCCGTGCGGCGATTCGGGGTACCCTTGGACCGTCCTTGGGGTCCTCTTGGGGCCCTCTTGGCCCGTCTTGCGGAAAGGCTTCCTGGCGCGCGACAAGCACAAGAAGCTTTGGGAGTTAGGGGTCCGGGCTCCCTCAAGACTCTTCAGGATTGAGGATTGAGGCTTGAGCTATCAGGCAACGACCATCAGGACACTGCAACTCGTGCCTCAGGCCAAAGGGGCGGATATAAGGGGGAGGGAGAGATGGAGAGACAGAGAGGGAGAGAGAGAGAGAGAGAGAGAAAGAGAGAGAGCGAGAGCGAGACAGACAGACAGACATACAGACAGACAGACAGACAGACACACAGACAGACCAACAGATAGACAGACGGATACTAGAGACGAGATACGTGGTAATTAGGAGGGGCTTAAGCTGAGAGACGAGAGGCGAGAGAGCGAGAGAGAGAGGTGACAGACGAGACACGATAGACGAGAGTGTTGACGTGAAGTGGACGGATGTCCTCGTTGATGCTGCCATGCCGTTGCCGTTGCTGCTCGCAGGGGCACGCTTTCGCTGGCCCCGCCGCGCCCAGCCTGGGCCACCTCGAAGCACGGTGTGTTGAAACTTCGGGCATGCAAGTCAAACGAAGTCCCTGCCGAGGGCCCCAGTTTGACAAATCATCATCAAACATCGATCCGATCGTTGCATGGAATAATCTTGGCGACGGGCCCAACTTGATGCGAGTGTGAGAAGCTCCAAGCACGTGGGGCGAAGGAAGGGGGAGATCCCCGTCGGTCCCCGAATCGTTTGAGGGCTGTGCCGAAGTGGTCGGGGTGACGCAGGTGAGCCCTGCAACCAGAGCCTTCGATGGAGGTCCCTTTCTGGAGCCCCGAGACGAGTTAGGCGTACGCCGAAGTGGGCGGGGGGACGCATGCGAACCCTGCCATAAAAGCCTTCTGTGGAGATCACTTTTGTGCCACGAAGCGTGCGAGGGGTGCGCCGCAAGGAGCGGGGAGCGCACGCGAAGGCTGCCGCAAAGGCCTTCGGTGGAGCTCCCTGTGTGACCACGAAGCGTGTGAGGGGTTCGCCGAAATGGGTTGCGGAGGGAAGGGGGGTGCCTCCTCCTCCTCCTCCTCCTCCTCCTCTTCCTCTTCCTCCTCCTCCTCCCTTTCCTCCTCCTCCTCCTCTTCCTCCTACTTCTCCGCCGCCTCCTCCTTACCCACCTCCTCCTCCTCCTCCTCCTCTCTTTCTCCTCCTCCTCCTCCTCCTCCTCCCTCCTCCGCCGCCGCCTCCTCCTCACCCATGCGAAACATGCCGCCAGAGCCTTCGGTGGAGCTGCCTCTGGGGCCACGAAGCGTGCGAGGTGTGCGCCGAGAGGAGCTGGGGGGCGCGTGGGAAGCTTGCCACAGCAGCCTTCGGTCGAGCTCTCCCTGCGGGGCCACGAAAAACAACGTCAGTGACGGGTGTGCCGAATGTCAGCGAGCGAAGAACGGTATAAAATAAACTTTCCGCCGTCGGAGACACATGCCCCTGGACGGCTGGAAAGTTTATACCCCTACGGTGCCACCGTAAGGGTATAAATTTTCCAGCCGCCTTGGGACAGGCGCCCCCGACAGCGAAACAGATTATTTTACACCGTTCTTCGCCCGTTAAGAATGGGTCGGTCGGACACATGCGAACCTTGCCACAGGAACATTCGTCCGTGTGGGGCCACGAGACGTGTGAGGGGTGCGCCGAAGTTGCCAGGGGAAAAATATGCGAACCTTGCCTCCAGAGCCCCCGATGGATTCCCCTTCTGGGGCCACGAAACATATGAGGGATGCGCCGACATGTGCGGGAGGGATGCGTGCGAAACTTGCCACAAGAGCCCTCGGCGGAGCCCCTTTGCGGGGCCACGAAACGCGTGAGGGGTGCCCCGACATGGACGGGGGGGCCCATTGCGAACCCTGCCACAAAACCGTTCGGTGGAGCTCTTTGTGTGGCCAGGAAGCGTGGGAGGTGTGCCTACAAGGGCGGGTGGGGATACATGCGAGGGCTGCCACGGAGACTTTCGGTGGAGGTCCCTGTGGGGCACGAAACGTGTGAGGGGTGTGCCGAAATGGGCGGGGGGACGCATGCGAACCTTGCGACATGAGCTTGCGGTGGAGGTCCTTATGGGGCCACGAGGCGTGTGAGGGGTGTGCCGAAGTGGTCAGGGGACGCATCCGAAACTTTCCACAGAAGCCTTCAGTGGAGCTCACTTTGAGGCATGAAGCGTGTGTGCCGGAATGGCAAAGGCTGCGAAGGCTGCCACAGAAGCCTTCGGTGAAGTTCTGTCTGGGGCCACGAAACGTGTGAGGGGTGCGCCGAAATGGGCGGGGGGACGCATGCGAAGCTTGCCACCATAGCCTTCGGTAGAGTCCCCAGGCGGGGCCACGAAACGTGTGATGAGTGCGCCGCGATGGACAGGGGGGGCGCATGTCAACTCTGCCACAAAAGCCTTCGGTGGTGCTCTCATGAGCTCTCTGTGGTGCTACGAAGCGTTTTGGGGGGTGTGCCGAAATGGGCGGGTGGGACGCATTTGAACCTTGCCGCACCCCTTCTGTGGAGCCCCCTTGTAGGGGCCACGAAACGTGTGAGGGGTATGCCGAAGTGGTTGTGGGGCGCATGCGAATTCTGCCACAAAAGCCTTCGGTGGAGTTCCTTCTGGGGTCACGGAGCCAGTGAGGGATGTGCCGGAACAGACAATGCGGAGAACGCAGGTAGGAAGGGAGGAGGGGGAGTAGGGAGGGAGGGGGGAAGGAGCGGGGAGAAGACGAGAAGACGCAGGCAGGAAGGCAGGAAGGGAGGAGGGAGAGAGGGGGGGGGAGGAGAGGAGAGGAGAGGCGAGGAGAGGAGAGAATGACATGCGGGTCGCTGTCCCTGCACAGCGAGGGCCCATCGCCACAGGATGGTGTGGACAAACAGACGCGCTGGGCGGCGAGGCGCGAGCCCTATGTTGAAAACGACAGGCGCTCAACCCTTGAAGCTGCTTCACGATGTTGGGCCGAGTGCGCACAGCGCTGAGGTTAAGTCGGGCATTTGCCTCTACAGGGGGGACATGCAAGTCTAGTAGAAACACCGTCTGGTGGCATTGCTCCTGCCCTTTTGACTAGTAGGGGTTGCGTCTGGCTTGCCTATGTTTCATGCTTATTCCAATATCCGCCCGTAGGAAGACATGCCAGACCTACCGCTAAGGCGCGAGCCCCACTTTGAAACGGAACCGCCCTCGATCCGTGAAGCAATACGTTAGACACGAGTGTTCGCGGCGCTAAGGCGATACCACGCTTTCTACAACCCTTCAATCCTCGACACTCCTGCAAACTTGTCAGACAACTGTGCTCGGCGCTACGGCGAAAGCCACATATGGACAACTGTTTGCTGCCCCTCCATCCGTGCAGTTGGTACAAACTTTTCAGGCGAATGTGCTGCGGCGCTAATGCGATAGCTGAATTTTCAAGCCGCCCACCTCCATTCTTGAATTCGCTGCGAACTTTGAAGACGAGTGTACGCAGCGATGGGGCGATAGCCACGTTTTGAAAAAGGAGCCGCGCTCCATCTGTGGAACTGTTGCGTGTTTTCTCAATCATCCTGTGGTGTTGGTTCTCGTTCTGAAGAGACAGCGCCCCGCGTCATGCCCGCTCCCGCTCCCCCTTCAATATCTTCCCATCCCTGCCTCTGCCCTCCCTCGAGCCACCCCTCACACTTCTCGTGGCCCAACAGGGAGCTCCTCCGAAGGCCCCAGTGGCAGGGTTCGCAGGGCGGCGCCACCTCCATTTCGGCACACGCCTCAGTGGCTTCGTGGTCCCACGCTGAGCTCCATCGAAGGTCTCAAGTGACAGGGTTCGCAGGGCGGCGCCGCTCCAATTTGAGCACTCCCCTCGCACGGTTCGTGGCCCCATGGGGAGCACCACCGAAGGACCCAGCGGCGTCGCCTCCATTCCGGTGCAACCCTCACACGTTTCTTTGCCCCACTGGAGCTCCACCAATGGTGCCAGAGGCAGCGCCTGCATGGCGGCACTGGCTCATTTTGTCGCACCCCTCACACGTTGTGTGGCTCCATGGGGAGCTCCCCTTCAGTCGTCCGACCTGCCCTGCGGTGCTCACGCCTGCATGCGGTTGGGCTCATCGCCGAGATAGATACGCGAATGCGCGCGGAGCGAAGGCAAGGATCACATTTTGAAAACCACCACTCTTGCACTAGTGAAGCTGATGCAAACCTTTACGACGAATGCGCACGGTGCTAAGGCCAGAGCCACATTTTCAAAACGACTCGTGCTTCATCCTTGAATTTGCTGCAAACTTTGTAGATGGAGGCGCGCGGCGCTATCGCGAGAGCCATATTTTGATCGCCCTCCTTTACCCTTGTAACTATTGCAAATGTCAAGTTTCGTCTCAGGCAAAATGCCCGGCCCGCCGCAGCGACAAGTCTAGGGGTGCGACAGGGAGGAGTGTTTAAAGAAATGGACTGAAGAAGGAGGAGGAGGAGGAGGAGGGGGAGGAGGGAGCGGAGAAGGGAGACAACAAGGAGAAGGAGGATACGAGGGGGAGAACGAGGAACAGGAGGAGGAAGAGGAGGAGGAGGAGGAGGAGGAGGAGGAGAAGGAGAAGGGGACGAACGAGGAGGAGGAGGGGGAGCAGCAGCAGGGGCAGGAGGAGGAGGAGGAGGATGATGATGAGGAGGAGGAGGAGGAGGAGGAGGAGCAGCAGGGGCAGGAGCAGGAGGCCTCCTCCTCCTCCCCCCCAGTCGTTGCATTTTGTTTCTCGACGTCGGCCCCCGTGGATCTCCGCCAACTCGTCACTCCACAGGGTCGGCTCTTCCTCTCGCGCCGTGTGTTGGCACTTCCCAGGGCCAAGAGACGGCGAGCCCAGCACGTCGAAATGCCGGCCGTCGCACCTCCTGCGGCGAGGTGGTCCTTGCTGGCAGCGGCTCCTCCGACGTCGCCGATGCCGTCTGCGGCTCGCAGCTCAGCGAGGACTGCCGGCCTTCCGTCGGACGCCGGCGCAGTGGCCGGAGGAACAAGGCCCCCGCCCGCCGCGTGGCTTCGGGGGTCGAGGATCGAAGGATGCTTTAAGTCCATGCGGGGTAGGTCCATGCGGAGTGCTCGGTCTCCGTCTGGGCTCTCAACGTCTGGATGTGGCCTCCACTGGAAGGAAGAGCAAGGTGCATACGGCGGGTTCGCGTCGTGTGGACGCGGTGGCGACCCTGCCGCGGGTGTTCAAGGTTGAACGCCGCCAGTGGCCCAGAATCGGCCAGCACGGAACGATCTGGCGATCGAGAAGCCGCCGATCGTTCAAGGCAAGGCCGAACAGTCCACGCGGCGTCAGGATCCAACGCCAGGTCAGGACACGAGCTCGTCGTGTCCAGAGACCTTCGGAGGCCCGCGCGGATTTCTCGGGTCGGCGCTGGGCCCCCCCGTGGCGGCGCCTCCGGCGCCGACCCTGGCGCCTTTCAGCGCTCCAGGGATCAGGAGGGGATAAAACAATCAGACACAAGTAGTCGTTGACCCCCAGGGAAATATGGGAAAATATGGGAAGTGGGGGAAGACAAAAACCAACGACATCTAGGAAAATATGGTGAGTCCCCCAGGGAAATATGGGAAAATATGGGAAGTGGGGGAAGACAAAAACCAACGACATCTAGGAAAATATGGTGAGTCCTGTTATTTGTATGTATTTGTTTGTGTGTCCCAGGGCCCCTGCAAGGGAGGGGGAGGGGTCGGCGCCTCGCCAAGACGTCGGCGCGGACCTCCGAGCGCTTGTGCTCGTGCAGACGTTTCTACCTCGCACGGCGGGCGCACTGAGCAGTGCATGCCGGCCTCGACGATGTCAGAGCCCGACTTGGACAAAAACCTCAGGAGGGGAAGAGCACACACAGAGACATAACAATGAATCGCCGACTCCCAGGAAGGTGTGGGAAGTGGGGGGGGGAGACGAAAGCCCAGGGAACATAGGAAAACATGGGGAACCCTGTTATTTGTGTCCATTTGTGTTTTTTGTTTGTGTGTGTGTGCGTGTGTGGGTGTGAGTGTGGGTGTGGGTGCGTGTGCGTGTGTGTGTGTGACACACCTCGTCAAAACGTAACTAACAAGTGGGTCTACTGACTGTGTGGTGTGGGGGGGGGGGGTGTGGGGGTGTGGTGGGTGTGGGGTGTGGGGGTGTGGGGGTGTGGGGGTTTTGTGGGGTGTGGGGGTTGTGGGGGTGTGGGGTGTGAGGGTGTGGGGGTGTGGGGGTGTGGGGGGTGTGGGGGTGTGGGGGCTGTGGGGTATTGGTGGGGGTGAGGGGGTGTGGAGTTGTTGGGGTGTGTGGGTGTTGTGGGTTGTGGGGTGTGTGGGTGTGTGGCTGTGTTGTTGCAGTTGTTTTGTGGGTGTGTGGTGTGTGGGTGTAGGGTGTAAGGGTGTAAGTGTGTAAGGGTGTTGTAAGGTTTACTTTGTGTGGGGGGTGGGGGGGTGGGGGGTGGGGGGGGGTGGGGTGGTGGGGGTGGGGGGGTGGGGTGGGGGGGAGGTGGGGGGGTGGGGGGGTTGGGGGGTGGGGGTGTGGTGGGGTGGGGGTGTGGGGGTGTGGGTGTGTGGGGGTGTGGTGTGTGGGGGTGTGGGTGGTTGTGGGGGTGTGGGGGTTGTGGGGTGTGGGGGTGTGGGGGGTGTGGAACTGTGGGGTGTGGGGCTGTGGGGCTGTGGGGCTGTGGGGGTGTGGGGTTGTGGGGGTGTTGGGGGTTGTGGGGGTGTGGGGTCTGGGGGGTGTGGGGGGGTTTGTGGGGGCTGTGAGGGGGTGTGGGGAGTGTGGGGGTTTTTGTGGGGGTGTGGGGGTGTGGGGGCGTTGAGGGTGTGGGGGGTGGGGCGTGGGTTGTGTGGGGGTGTGGGTGTGGGGGGTTTTGTGGGGAGTGATGTGGGGGTGTGCTGGGTAGTGTGGGGGTTGTGGGGTGTGTGGTGGATTTTATGTGGGGTTGTGGGTTGTTGGGGGTTGTTGGGGTGGTGGGGGTGTGGGGGTGTGGGGGTGTGGGGGTGTGGGGGGTGTGGGGGTGTGGGGGTGTGGGGTTGTGGGTGGTGGGGGTGTGGGGGTGTGGGGGTGTGGGGGTGTGGGGGTGTGGGGGTGTGGGTGTGGGGGTGTGGGTGTGGGTGTGTGTGTGTGTGTGTTTGTGTGGGTGTGGGCGTGGGTGTGGGTGTGGTGTGGTGTGGTGTGGTGTGGTGTGGTGTGGTGTGTGTGTGTGTGTTTGTGCGTGTGTGTGTGCGCGTGTGTGTGTGTGTGTGTGTGTGCGTGTGTGTGTGTGTGTGTTTGTGTGTGTGTGTGTGTGTGTCCCAGGGCCCCTTCAGAGCAGCTGCCCTCCTCGCCGAAGCGGACCTGCGGTCGTCTGCGGCCAGTCCTTTTTTCCTTCGCCCGGGGAGCGAAGGGTGGGCGCGGCGCGACTGGCGTCGGGGTAGCCCCGACGGGCCGTGCTGGTCAGGCCTCGGGCTGCGCACAGACCCCAAGGGCGCCCTCGAGGGCGCGAAGTTGTTCGCGCTTCGCGCTTCGGCTCCGGTGCCTCCTTGTCCTCCTTTTCTCCCTTTGGGGGGGCGGCGCGAGGGCGCGAAGCTATTCGCACGTCGCGCTTCGCGCAGCGCGAAGCGCGAAATTGGGAGCCCTTGGAAGGGTGGGCGCGACTGGCCTCAGGGTGGCCCCGACTGGCCGTGCTGGTCAGGCCTCGTGGGATGCTCGAACCTACTTTAGTTTCGAGCACCAGGACGAATTTCGAGCGCCCAAAGAAGTGCCGAAACTCAAGGGCTTTCACGTGCCGGGCCCTCGGAGACACTCGCCCGACACTGTTTCGACACTCTTTTGACACTTTCCTGGGTGGTCGAAATTATTTCTAGGATGCGGTCCTTAAGTAGGACAGGAACAGCGCATAAGACCCGGGTTCGACCCAAATTTGAGTCGGGCCTGTCCTTCTACAGGCGGCATTCTTAAAAAGAGAGTCAAACAAATTCCAGGGGGCGATTTCCGGGCTATTTTCTAGTATGTTGTGTGCATGCGTTTTGCCAATTGGTGGTGTTTCGTCCAAGTTCCGTTTGTAGGAGGACATGCCCGACCTAAACACAAACGGTGTTTTCCGTCTTCCTAAATTCAGTATCGTTTGACCAATCGCCATCCTCATCCCCTTCGATACTCCCACCAAATTACCACCCGAGTTGGGGATACACTCCTCGAAACCTGAAGGGAACGGCCTACATCCCCATCTAGGGGGGTAACTCGGCCAGTAGGTCCCAGGCCACGCCGCTGGGGATGGGGATTGGTTAACCAATACTCAGAAACGGTGTTTTCCGTCTTCGTTTTGTTTCTTTGTCTTTCGACTCGTATTCGTTCCGCCTTCTGCGGCAAAATCAAATCAGAGCGAAAGCGGCACACGAAATCGCCAACACACCACCGCTTAGATCGAGCCCTGGCACAGACCAGCCCCCGCCGCTGGCCTCGACATTCCCGAGCTCCCGGCGCGCTCCGCGCCCCAGGGTAGGTGTGCTGAGACCGCCCTGGGCTACAGTCGGGGCGCTGAAGAAGGAACCCTGTTCGTTGGGAAGGGGCTCGGTGTTCCTTGATTGTTTTACAGTTTGCCCTGGGTTTTCCTTAGGTTTTCAATGGTAAATCGAAGTTTAACTTATGGAAAAAAAGGGGCCTCGTTCCTTATTTAGGGTTCCTTAGGTCAACGCCCCGACTGTACTCGGAGGGCCTGTTGATGCCAGCCGGGGCATCCTGGAATTGCTGTCTGTGCACAACCCGAGGCCTGCTCCAGGCTGTGTCACGCGCACCGACGGGAGGGACTGGCCCAGGGGGGGGGGGAACATCGACCCCCAAACACCCATGCATGTCCAATCGGGCCCCGACGACCCGCCCCTTCCCAGGAGCGTGAGGTTTCGCCATGTCGTGGGCCTGTCGCAGATCAATATTTGACGCGTCGCCGATTCTAGATATGAGTTGTTCCAGGTTTTGCCCCCCTGAGCCTGTCCGCCCGCTTGGTGTTCGCCCTCATCTGTGCAGGAAGGCCGCGCAGACTGCGGACGGATCGACTTGTTCAGCCCTGGCAGACATTTCCTTGACTTCGGCCTTAAAGGGGGGCCACTCTCGGCCCCGGGGGCCATCGAACACGGATCTGTGACGAGCACATGTTTTGGGGGGGGAGAGTGGTCGAGATGCTTGAGGATCCTGGGTTCAAGATGTCTGCTGTCCGAGCACGTGTTTCTGGGGAGAAGCGGTGGGGATGTTTGACGTCTGAGCACACTTTTGGAGAGGGGGAGGTGGTCGAGATGTCTGAGGATCTTGGAGTGAAAACAGAAACCATCGGATGTCTGGGAGCCGGTGGCTGCGCGTGGTCCATGTCGAGCCGATTCGATGACGATGCAGGGGGGAGGCCATGCCAAGAAACGCCCTGCTTGCCTCCAGGGTGCCCTGGGTTTCTTGGGTTTCGATTGTTTTGCGATGGAGAGCGTGACGTTCCCACACCAAAAGCCAATGGGCGTAATTACTGGGGTCTCGGGGTTGGGTTTCTTGTGGAATGGAATGGGCTCCACTGTAATCAGACGATCCGATGCCCCCGATGTTCGCACGGCGCTGCTGTGCACCCTGGCGCGGTCGGCCAGATGGGCTTCCGTTTCCGTGTCGACGCGCCTTGATTCAACGCAAAGAAAAAAAAAAAAAAAAAACAAAAAAAAAAAAAAAAAGTCTACAAAAAAAAAAAAAAAAAAAAAAATAATAAAATAAAGAAAAAAAAAAAAATAAACAAAAAAAAACAACGCAAAGTCCGATTCGATCCGGTTACGCGAATTGATTGATCTTGCATCAATGTCGGGGGTGGACAGAACCCCCAACAGTGACACGTCGATTAGTGAATTGTCCGTTTTCGGTTTTCGAGAGGGCGCCGTGACCGTTGTTTTCCAGGCTTGCGCCCGCCAGGTTTGGGCCCGAAGTCGTTTTCACTAAACCACGCTTTACTAAAGGGAGGTCTGTC